AAGAAGAAGAGAGATATCCCTCTGGGCTCCTTTGATCGGCTCCATCACCTAGCGGGGGTAGGGGGTCGTGGTTTGGTCCCGCCTTAGCTACTGTGGTTGATATGGAGTTGGGACGGGCTTAGGGCGCCTGGAGGACCCCTAGAGGCGTTATCCCTGGTTAGTGGCTCTGGTCGCTCTCCTCGTGGCTGCGTGCAGCGGGGCTGGAGGATGGTCTGTACTGGTGGACGTAGGTTACTGGCCTGGTGGCCTGGCTGCCCCTGAGTGGATCCGGGGCAGGCGTGGGGGTTTGGGGTTCGGGGGTGCTTCGCCTCCGTGCTGGGGCTCTGGCTGGGCCTTGGGGGCTTCGGTCCTCGTCGGTGTGTCACCGAGGTTGTGAGCGGGTGGGTGCACGGGGGCTCAGCCCTGGCGCAGGGGGCCTCTTGTGCATCGGCCTAACTGGGGGGCTCTTCAACTGGCGGGGAGGTTGTTCCATCCTTGCAGGAGTCCACTCTGCAGGTGGGGGAGAGACATAAGAGAGGTGGAGAATAAACTTAACCTGGGTGTCTGTTGTCTTGTGTAGTCTGGGAGACGATTGAATGTTGGGGTGGGTACAGTTTCCTCTGCGGTGGGGTAGGGTGGGCTGCCCCGGGTCCTGTGGGGCTTGGCAGTGCTACCGTAGGCCCCGGTCTGGATGGACCTGGGCTCCCTTGCCTTGGTGGGTACCAGAGGACGGGGGTGCCTACTGGGGTCAGCGGGGGAGCTGGCCCTAGGGAGGGGCATCCTCCCCTCCCTCCTTTTCCTCCCCATCCCCGGCTACCTCCCTCTTCCCGCTCCACCACACTCACCCACACAGGTAGGGCCTTGGGGTGTGGGTGTGTCACAAGGGTGCAAGGGAGACATCCCCCCCTCTGTTCCCTTCTGGCCACCTGTGCCTATATTTTATCTCACAACTTAGACATCCACATTACTTACACTCTCATAACACACACACACATATATAGGGCCTTGAGGGTGGGCACGTTAACGGCGTCCAGTGGACGGTCTGTGTACTCAAACCTACCTCTGGCGCTGGTGCCCACCTCCCAATTTTAAATCCATGTAGACATTGAGGGTTCTCGGGAGGGGCCGTGCTAAACACCTGCTGCTCTCTGGCAGCAGCACCATGCTCTCCCTTGTTTTAAATGCACTTTAGAACAACACGCAGCAACTGTTAGGTTTTGTATTGTTGATTGTCATTTATGCTTAGAAATATTTAACCATATATGCTTAGAGGTGTATAATCAATTGTGTAGTGATAGGATGTGTGATCTTTAGCAGGCTGCAAAGGCTTGGTGTGCATTCTAGAGTGGAATGCACACCCACATCCTAGGAGCATAAGAGAGGTCCTATCTTCTCTTTGTTGATATATGGTATAGCAAACACACGTATATCTCTTTAAGTATAAGAGCCTTTTGTTCAGATGGACCCGCTAGACTCCTGGCACCAGCTTTGGGGAGTCTTCACAGGGTCACATCTTGACCTCACACAAATCACACCACACACACACACACACACACACACACACACACACACACACACACACACACACACACACACACAGTATTCTTTGTTCACATGTATACCTATGTAAGATGTTATATGTTAATGACCCTATGCATATTCATGTAACCACAATAAAAGGAGTGCTATGGGGAACCTGGCTGAGAGTCTGATGGAGGTCAAGTGGTGGAACGACACTTGGCTCCAGGCAGGTCTCCCTCATGCATGAGTAACATGAAGAACTTTGCCTACTTGGTGTTCAATGCTTTTGCTGTGTAATTATATTGTCTTCAACGTTCCAGCGAATAGGTTCAAGCTACAAACCTATCATTAATTGGTCCTTCGAGAGCCGGAGCCCTGGAGTCGACATTCACCGAGGGGAGAAGAGACACGCTGAAAGACTGACGTCAGCCAGGAAGTTCCTGTAGTAAAGTCCCGAGACGTGAGAATTTGTCATCGGGCCAGTGGATTAGCTGTCTGTTTTCTCTCCTTGATGAATGACGATCGGCGGGATCCGAGGCTATACTACACGCTAAGCAACACCGAGTAAGTTTAGAGTCCAACTCTATAACTGTACGTCTTCGCCGCTCAGTGGGGCGTTGTCCGTGGCCGCTCAGTGGGGCTAAAATTCGCCGTCTTAGTGGGGCGATGTACAAAGCCGCTCAGTGGGGTTTTTTTGTACAGAAGCATTAAGTCGCAGAGTTGCGCAGTTCGAACTTTTTTGGTTCGCCGTCTTAGTGGGGAGAAATGTAGACCGCTTTGTGGGATCCGCCGCTTTGTGGGGTATTGAGAAGTTCCGCGGGGTCCAGATTGTGCTGGACAATAGGCCTATTTTGTGTTGTTGTTGTTGTGTTTGAGTGTGTTTGTGTGAGTGGGTGTGGAGCAGAACACGTGGTCTGTGACACCGGCTGTTGTTGTTATCATGGGTTCCTAAGCAACCAAGAGTGAGTCAGAGGGTGACAGACGTTTATGCTGGACTTTGCTCCTGGCAGCACAAAGTATTTAAAATAAAAGAGAGCGACGGCTCCTTAGCTGCGCGGGTTCACGCGAGCACGGTCGCGCGGGTTTCACGCGGACCTGAGCCGTGCGGTTAATCGCAGGCTTATAAATGGAAGAGATTCAAATGTCAGAAGTTTTCAGAAAACACACCAGCCTTGAAGAGCGTGTGGAGAAGGCCAGCCCACATCAGCAGCACTTAAGATATGCTCTGGTGAATGGCTTTCCCCCACCCCTTGCTGACATAAAATGTTTATTCTTTAGCTTGCCCTGATTGACAACAGCCTGTGTGCCAGACAAATCTGTTAAATCAAACTTCACATTTTCAACCAACTATAGATCATGAGAGTGATAAAGTACTCAGCATAACAGACAAGTATCATGTGCAGGTTTTCTCCAATCATTAAATCACTATTATTGCCATAATTTGTCCCAAATCATGAATCATCCCAATTTATTCCACAATTTAATCTGTGACTTTCCTTAAACAATGTCACTCCACCCATTTTATCACTATGAGTTCAATAGTGGCAGGCTAATGAGCCCATATTCAACTATTCCATAAACACTGCATCTCTTATTTGTTTTTCTCATGTCACTTGTCCGCTTCTGTTGAATCCTCTACATGTACTCTTAAAGAAAAAACAAACATTAGCAACACACATGGATCGTGTGGTGGGCAGGCGTCGGCCATCCACATTCCAGAGGTGCCGTAAAAGGCCATAAAATTAAGCCTGCTGTAAAAAGAATGACACTGGTTTCAACACAGGAAATTTCTCACGTTATTCACATCGTCAAAGTAACCTTCAACATTTTCCCAACAACACAGTGTAACAGCATCACCAACTCATAACCTGTAGTAGAGAAACAAACATCCACCAATTGTTCTGTTAGAAATCACATCATCAAATCACATGAAGAACTGTAATGCTGTAGAAAAGAGAATGCAAATGTTAGCGCTGCGCAGGTGTGTACACACTTTCTCACAGTAACTTCTGTGAGCAACACAAGCCCATGAATAACACACCCCTGGTAGATTCACAAACACAGAAAATGGCATTTAAAAGGTTAAACCATCACGCAACCTCAGATGTTGCTGTCATCTTTCTGCTCCTGTAAAAGGAAACACATAAATTCATCCACCCTTTTGTCCTGTCTAGGTGGAGGTTAACCTTGAGTCGTGGTCAAGTCTTGTCAGCTTTTACCAGTCAGTCATTTTGTTTTTATTTCCATTCATTAATTCATTAATTCATCCATTCATTCATTCTTTCTTTGCTGATAGTGGAACCCATCGTCGCATTTAGTTTCCACTCTCAGCAAAATGACGTCATTTCAGAAATGACTCTGCCAGCGGTTGTGAAAACTACACAGAGGATTGTAAGCAGCAGCCTCCACACCACCAAATTAATCTATACCAACATATGTCAGAAATGTTCCCAGTTTAACACTGAAACACAGAAGGATATAGGACAAGGGCTTTATTGTATCTTTATCATCAGCAGGGGCAGATCTACAGAAATTTCCTAAATTCTAAAGACCTACACCCACATTTTGTAAACAATAAAGTTCTATACAACTATTTACCGAAAAATGCAGGCAATGCATCTGAAGTTTTTTTGTAACTCTATTTAAAACTACTAAAACAAAAATTAGACAACAATCAGGTGTCACAGTAAGATGCCACACAAATTATTTGTGCCAGTGCAAAAAAAATAGTTTGTCTGCCACAAGACAGAGGAGAACACCACAAGCTTAAACCCTGCAGGTCTGACAAGAGGAGGTGCAAACTTACTGTATTGCTCACTCTGTCAATGTTAACTATAGCTAGGCTCAAAGTGTTAATGCTAGCTTATTTTAATAAACAACACTGTCATATGCAAAACGTGGGTTCCACTAGGGATGGCAAGAGATTAATTTTAGGTGGGCACATGCCACCCTTGCAGATTCACCATTGATCACTAGTAATATACATCAGATTAGAGAGAGAGAAATGCAGAAAATAAAAAGCACAAAGCAAAATAAATGAATAAATAAGAAATAGAAATTCTCCTTCTTTCTTCTATTTCCAAAGCATGCTTTGTTATTGCTAAAAGGATTCAGTTGTATTATCACACATTTAGCATATATTATATTATTATATTATTTTGGACATAATGGACATAATTGTCCATCATGACAACATACAAAGAAGTCATACATACTTATTCCAAGTCTGCTTCAACAAGACTCTATCACCTTTTTTCATTGACTTTACTTTAACAGTGGTTTGTAAACACAAGGTCAATATCCAAAAGGTTTTTGAGTCTTGTTAAAGCATCATATGTTCTTTTGTTTGTTTTTGTGTTATTCGGGACTTTAATGAAAGGTAAAGAGAAGAAGTCCAAAAAGTAGATGGATCATTGCCAGTCTGATAGAACAAGCATCACTTTTGGTTGTAGAGGCAGTTGTTGCAGTTGATGTAGCAGGGTTTGCCCCCCCGGGGGATTGGAAGTCGATTGGCATTTAGTTTCCACTCTCAGCAAAATGACGTCATTTCAAAAAGAAAAAGAAGAACTTTAGATCGGATTACCTCGCTGAATCCTTTTTAGGCAGGGACTCTCATTTTCTAATTGTCCCAAATAAGTGGCTTTCTCCAGAGCCCATTTTAATGTGGAGAAACTCACTTGCAACAATTTTCTCGACGACGTGTAGCACTTTTAATTCCCGACGTGCAGATCTGCTTAAAGAAAAGAAATTCACAAACAAAAATCAGTGCACTGTTCAAAAAATAAAAATAAAATGAAAAATGACAAATAAAACTGAAAAACAAAAGAAAAAAAAAATACAGAAGCCCGGTCTTAGGACTTGTCACAGAATATTCTTTCTCTTATAGGTGAGAAAACACCAAATCTAAAACTTGGTGCCATGGTAAAACCTTCCCCATACTTCAGAAACAAAAACAAAACAAAAAAAACAAAAAATCTGCTAGTTTCACTCATTTAAACTCTGGCTGCAGGATTCTGTTCACCCCTGCTATCATGTTCCCCAAAATAATACTAATTCAGTCGTCTATGTATCAGTTCTCAACCCACTCAATAAACCAGACAGGATGATGGTAACAGTATTACCTACTTAAAATTGTGTTTGATCTTCATTACGTGTGTGTGTGTGTGTGTGTGTGTGTGTGTGTTGTGTGTGTGTGTGTTGTGTGTGTGTGTGTTGTGTGTGGTGTTGTGTGTATTGTGGCGTGAATAAGGCACGGCGGGACCACGGAGCAACGTTCAGAGCCAACTTTATTTAATTCACGTCACACCACACACACACCAACCCCTGAGTCCCCGTGTTTTAACACGGCGGGCGTGATTGCGGATGCCGTGCAGGTGCGTCCGCACGGCACCGCAAACCACGCCCCACCACAGTCGGGTTAATACATTTTCTGTTTTTATGTATCCTTTTATGTATCTCCCACTTTTTTCTGAAACAAAACTCCGTTCACTCCAAATTTTGTTCCAGAAACATCTAACTGAAAAACTCTGTCATAGTCAGGCACAGCTAAACCCCAAATGCTTGCAGGTTACCATAGGCAACCACACTGAGTGTTGTTAACCCCTTCTACAAATGCCCTCTTTTAATGTGTAACACTTTGTGTATGATTTTTTGTTATCTCTGGTGCATATTATCTGCATGTGTGGTGTCACCTTTCCATTTTTTCTAACAGTACACTTGCATACCTCAGTGCTTGTCTTCCACTGTGTCAATCCTCCACTTCCAGGCAGTCGCTTGTCTCCCCGGATGCTTTAACCTAATTTGATTCCCCACACTAAAACAGCCGCCTCAGTCCTCTTCTGCTCCTTTTCTTCTCTCCCACTTTTCAGTCCAATGGCAGTCAGTTTTCTTCAGCTTTGTCCCGTGTATCTCTTTGTCCCACTGTCTCTTTCATTGCCATCTCACTCCAAACATGGCAAATGTCAAGCTCAGACAGTCTTCTCAAAAGTCCTTCACACACAGTGAGGTTGCAGCTTGCTGGAAACGCATCTCCATCCATCCAATCTAGATCTTCTCTTTCTGATGCCGTTTGCCCACAGTGCTGCTGGACCTCTCTGCTCAGAACTCTGGTATTGTCTCTTGGACTTCTGTCCACTGTTGATGTTCATGCTTGTGCTTCTGGAACTGCACTCGGTGTCTTCAGGGAGAGATTAGCTTCCTTGGAGCTTGCTTGTTCAGGATGAGGACGGGAAGCTGCAAAACAATTCAGCCAAAAATTCTGGCTGGGTGTTTCTATTTTTTCTAATGATTTTAACCTATAATTTTCTTCCGACTGCTGCCCGTGGAGAATTGATCCAGGTCCGTTCCCCACCTGTAATCGACAGACTGAGAGACTTTCATTATTCACTGTGACTGCATATGTTTTCATCACTCCTAAAGCAACACATCTCTACTTATTTTGTTTTGAACTCTGACTTTAAACCCCAAAAATGAAATTTTTATTTGTTCTTAACCGCAAACACAAAAATCTTCTTGATGTTGTTGTTAATTATTTTCATCCACACACTCCAAATTATGTTTTCTTTTGTGTCCAGCAGGGGAAGAAGGTGACCTGTAGCATCACTGCTTCCCCCAGTTGGAGACAATTTCCCACTCACACTTCCACACTTTTTATTTTCTTTGTTTTCATCATTTTCTTTCTCTTTTTTTACCCCATTGTTTTACACCCACACATTAACCTGTTAACTCACTCCTCCAACCTCATCTTCCTTTCACCCCAACAGCTCTCATACAGTCAGCAATCAAATTCTCCATTCATCCTTAAATACTTGGTCTGTCATGATACTGTGTCAGGCAGGAGAGGACCCAAACGCAAACTCACGGAGACAAAACGTAAACTCAAAAACACAGCTTTAATGCTGGCATAAAGTGAAACACAAAAAACAGTACTAAACTAAACTGGGAAAGCTAAACATAAAGTATACCAGGAACCACGGGGAGAATCACACACAGCATGAGGGAGACTACGACACTGACAAAGAGAAACACAGGGCTTAAATACACAGAGGGATAACGAGGGAATGAGACACAGAAGGAGGGCACAGCTGGGAGAAATCAGGACTGACGAGACAAGCAAAGCAGGACACATTCACATAAGACACGGACCTTCAAAGTAAAACAGGAAGGATCACACAGAGACGCGAACTTGACACAGTGGAGACAGCAACTAAGAAACACAGAGACATAAACCATAAGGCAGAGGACTCTAAGAACCGAAAGACACAGAGGGGAAATCAAACATGCAGACACAGACTTACACAGAACAGAGGGGACACAGAGAAACATGAAGGGCAAGGGATCGAAACTAGAAACCATAAAATAACTCACACAAGTACAATATTACAAACATCACAAGGAACTAAAAACGCTGGGTCAGGGGACCCAGGACCATGACAATGGTCACCTTTAAATGTCACTGTTAATTTTATCAATTTATTTATCATTACTTTAACACTAATCCACTGTTTATTTTTCTTTATTTATTTTCAGTTCACTTTCTCCTCTTTGATCACTACGATTTCTTAACTATTATTTTTTCACAGAAAATCAACTACCGTAATTGTCGGGCTATAAGCCGCTACTTTTTGCACAAGCTTTGAACCCTGCGGCTTTTAGTCAGGTGCGGCTTTTCTATGGATTGTCCATGATTTTTGTCATATCGTAAGACGATTTGTTTTTTTCGCGCTGCTTGTACGGCACTACGTTGCCTGGCGGAGGGACATGTGACTACACATATCGGTCAAGACTCTATGTTGACTCCGATCCATCCGCCAGGCAACAGTAGTGCCGTACAACAGCGCGAACAAACAAACACTTCAAAGTAGCGCTACGCGTTTAGCGGGAGGCGTGGATGATGAGCGGCGATAAACTTGCGAAAAGCAAGTTATGCCCAACTCCACCGGTGGATTCTGACAGCGTGGAAAAGTGTGAAAACATCCACGATCACCAACGGATTTTGAAGGGCTGGACTGCTGCATGATGGAGAGGAGGACACCGCCACGGCCCTTCTGAGGGTGTTCGACTCTGACACTGACAACGAGGATTTCTTTGGTTTTGAAAGTGACAACGAAGGAGAGAAGCGGAGAGTGGATGACGAAGCCATCCTGAGCCTGTTCGTATCCGACACTGGAGAAGAGGACTTTGGTGGTTTTAGTGCGCAGGAAGAAGAGAAAGATGGTGGTGAATGACTGACTTTTCTTCTTGTTAAAGCTGTGTCACTGCACCTGAGCCTAAAAGGTAGTCCGAATCTATTTTTCTGGTGTGCTGTAGGTTACTGTTATGTACTACATGTGCAAATATGTACCCATAACTTGTTTTTCAAAATATTAATAAAAGGGGTGTGTCTCCAAACAGCCATCTCTTTCCTGACAATTCCCTTTGTGCATATTCTCTTACATATGATAAGTCAACATTGAAACACCTGCGGCTTTTAGTCAGGTGCGGCTAATGTATGTACAAAACAGGATTTTCCCCTGATTTTAGCTTGTGCGGCTAATATTCAGGTGCGCTTTGTAGTCCGGGAAATACGGTAATCTACTTTGTCTCCCTTTTTGTCATCAAGGAATTCACACACACATTCACAGGCTGGTCACTAGCCCCCACCTTTTCTTTCTCTCTCACACACACACACATTTTACTCTTCGTTCGTTCCACCTGTGAACCCGCAGTCCCATTCAAACTTTCTGCGAGACACTTCTGCTGATTCAGGACAACGCCCTAATCAGCACACAGAGCGGGTGCCTGTCCGCTCTTACACCTCAACCTAACTAGGACAATTAGGCTCACGATCTTCAGATCGCGCCACATTTGCCTCACGAATTATTCAAACTGCGCCACGGACTGGATACCGCAGTTTCTCTTCCCCATAAAAAATAAAACCAAATTAAACCCCCAATTGACTTCACAGTTTGCAACAATTCGCGACACGGCCTCCTGCCGCAATTTCTGCACACCACAAACACACACTTTTAGACACAAATTCTTTTTGTTACTTTAATTGACTCCCGTACTTCAGACGAGACGCCGACTCTAACGGCGCTTTCACACAACTACACAGTCTACACACACTGCAGTCAGTGGGACAAGCCAAGCAGTCGTTCTCTCACTAACAAAGCAACTTGCCCCCACTCTCATGCAGGTTATCAACCGTGACTAGGATCCAACACCTAGCTTTAGTTATTTAGGGCGCCCCCGGTGCCCAGGTCACCACCCCGGCAAATCCCAAGGACGCGTCCGACCAAGGGTGGAGTTGCCAAACTCGGAGCGCACACGGCCCTTAGCCGGCGACAAAGCCTTTCAGCCCCGCTTTCTAACTAATAGTAACACAAGTTTCCTGCTTTAACGCACGAGGACGGATCACACACCGCCACTTTTTTCCTAATAACTAAAGACGGATCACACGCCGCCACGGATGAAACACCGATGCTATTAATTACTAACTAAGACGGATCACACACCGTTTCTTTAACATACTGAGTGAATTTACACTGCGATACGTTCAACTTAGCGAACAGATAATTTAGGCTTTAAACAATATGCACGGTTCGAAAATAAACAGGTCGTGCTTACCTTTTAATCATGTGAGCTAGCTCTCTGTTCGCCTCGTTTCACGATCTCAGCTCTGCCAATTCATCCTCTCTGGGCCTCGAGCGAATCCCGGGTTTCGGCACCAAAACTGTTGCGAAATCAGTTTTACCCCGGTTCTTTTATTCGTCGAAACTTCCAGAGACGGCACCGGAACTCAGTAGTCATTTCACAAAACCTTTATTTATCTTTATTCATCTTCATTTACAGTTTTTCTCAGTCGCTTTGGTGCATTTCTCACAACAGAATTGAACTCTCCACCACTACTAAGGCACTTCTCAAAACAATTAGTGCAAACTGCAAAACATGGTGGATAACTTGCAAAAGTGAGTCACTCCATCAAAAAGAAAAGTCAGGTGTCCAAAATAAGTTGTCAATGCATCAACAACAAATCCCTTGAGCAAAACAGACAATACATTCATCAAAAGCAAGTACTGATACCAAACAAAGTGTCAGGGCTGTCACAATTACAAGTCAGTAGTCCAGCACCTTTGGTCACGAAATCACATGGTCTGAACATGTTCTCATTGTGACGGATGTCTTTGTAGGTGCTTCCCAATGACATGTCAAGTCCGGACCGCATGCATGGCATGTTGAAAACCATAAATTGTAAAGGACAATCAAGACACTCCATATGCACTCTTGATAATATTTAATTTAAACTGTTCACAGCATTGTGCAAACTGGGGAAATACAGTAAATCCAACATTTTACAGCAAACAAACTCACTTAGACAGTAAACCTCACTGCAGTAGTTACGACTCAAAAAAAACAAACTGAAAAACAGACACTGCTGCATATCAATCATTGATATCTAGACGCTCCTGTCTGTTGGTTTACATTACAGTATATATGTACTTGTGGAGTGGGGGATGCTGTGCCGCGGTTCACCTGTGACTGGGTAGGAGAGGCTTTTCATTGGTTGCAAGTAGGAGTGACACACACCAATTTTCATTAGTGTGAGATAAGGTTCACCTGAGACATGTAGTTTATGGAGATTTTCATGGGAACTCCTCCAAAATAGGGTTTTCAAAATGGGTGTATGAATCGTTTGACAAGCTGTTCAGCAATTTTGAGTGCACTGACACAAGCAATGCAATGAAGACTATTAGTTGTAAGGACAATGACTATTCAGCCGGTACAAGTATGAATAATTGTGACATTCATGATGAAAGAAAGGAGATAGTGATGAATAGGAAGTCAAACGTGACCATTCTTTAGATATTTGTACTCACTCAACTGCTTCATGTCCAAAGGCATTTGCCTTTGGACGCAGTGAACGTGAAACCGCCACAGGGTTGTGCCAAAACGACTACATGTTGTGGTGGTTGAACTAACTGTTGTGCAATGTTTAATTCTGTTGTGAGAAATGCACCAAAGCGACTGAGAAAAACTGTAAGCATGCACTTCTAGAAGGGAAGACGAGGCCAGTGTGTCCCTCTGCAAAAAATCTTCACTCCTTTGTGAAACACAGTTTTGTAGGGGCGACCCTATCATAAAACCCCCACGGTGTGCTGCAAACTCTGTGTCTGTGTCTATGTGCACGAGCACATGAATGCCTATGTGAGCGCGTTCCCGCATGTCTATGTGAGTGCTCGTGTGTGACTGTGTACGCATACCTGTGTGTATGTGTGAGTGCACATGAGTGAGTGTGCATGTGGATGTGTGTGCGTGACAGTTAAAACACTGTGGGTGTAGGTGACTCCCTAGAGGTCATAAAACCCATCTCCCTTCCAGACCACAGTTATCCAGTTACAAATGTTGAGACCCCCACCCAAACATTCTCTGGGGAATTTCCACTCAGCATTAACTCCTCTCTGTTTTACTTTCACAGTTCAAGTGGGGGAGGGGTCTCCTACAATCTACTCCTAAGTTCACGACACAGTGAGGCCTTTATTATATTGAGGGCAGTGTCAGTGTCTCTACAATAGTTCTACATTCTATGTTAACACATTTCTAAACTCTAAAATAAGCTAAACATTCCTACTATAGATAGATAGATAGATAGATAGATAGATAGATAGATAGATAGATAGATAGATAGATAGATAGATAGATAGATAGATAGATAGATAGATAGATAGATAGATAGATAGATAGATAGATAGATAGATAGATAGATAGATAGATAGATAGATGGATAGATAGATAGATAGATAGATAGATGGATGGATGGATGGATGGATGGATGGATGGATGGATGGATGGATGAGTGGCTCCAGCAGATCCCAGGAACAACATCCGAGATCACTGTCAGGACTCTCAAGCTCCCAGGCCTGTGGTAGAGGACCTGAATTAGTGTGTCCTAATTTACATACACATACATACATACATACATACATATATACATACATACATACTAAACCTTCTGGTAGTTCTGACTAGCTTTCCTCTTTTTGTTACCCACCTACTACACTTCTACAGTCTAAATGACATTTCTATCCTAGTAGTGTAGATCAGTGAATCGATGTCTAGTCTCATTCACTCTCGGCATACAGCTTTTATTCAATACTGGAATTTGAGGAATAATCGGACTGTTCAACCGTATCCGTTTCACATGGTTGTTTGGGTTTTTTCTAATTGTACTGTAATTCACTTTTACATTTCAGATATTAAGTGTGTGATAGATGGGGCGGAATGATGAATCTGAATACAGGCAGGAGGTAAAAAGGCTGAAAAGATGGTGCAGGGATACCAGTCTCAACGTTTCATGAAGGGCAGAAACTCCCTTCCACCCCTACACATTGAGGAGCAGCTGAAAAGGTGTTCAGTTTTAATTAACTTGTTGAACATCCCTCTGAGGACCTGATCTGGAACAACAACCTTTTCTTTGTGGTTAACAAGGTGCACAGGCAAACTCTACTTTCTCAGGAAGTGAAGGAACACTGGACTTGGAAATTCAGTACTAAAACTATTTTACAGATGTGTGGTAGAGAGTTCCCTGTGCTCCTGCATCACTGTGTGGCATGGAATCTGCTCTATGGCAAAGAAGATGACTCTGCCAGCGGTTGTGAAAACTACACAGAGGATTGTAAGCAGCAGCCTCAACACCACCAAATTAATCTATACCAGCATATGTCAGAAATGTTCCCAGTTTAACAGTGAAACACAGAAGAATATAGGACAAGGGCTTTATTGTATCTTTATCATCAGCAGGGGCAGATCTACAGAAATTTCCTAAATTCTAAAGACCTACACCCAAATTTTGTAAACAATAAAGTTCTATACAACTATTTACCAAAAGATGCAGGCATCTTTTTGTTTTTTTGTACCTCTATTTAAAACTACTAAAACAAAAATTAGACAACAATCAGGTGTCACAGTAAGATAGCACACAAATTATTTGTGCCAGTGCAAAAAAATAGTTTGTCTGCCATAAGACAGAGGTGAACACCACAAGCTTAAACCCTGCAGGTCTGACAAGAGGAGGTGCAAACTTACTGTATTGCTCACTCTGTCAATGTTAACTGTAGCTAGGCTCAAAGTGTTAATGCTAGCTTATTTTAATTAAAAACACTGTCATATGCAAAACTTGGGTTCCACTAAGGATGGCAAGAGATTAATTTTAGGTGGGCACATGCCACCCTTGCAGATTCACCATTGATCACTAGAAATATACAGAGAGAAATGCAGAAAATAAAAAGCACAAAGCAAAATAAATGAATAAATAAGAAATAGAAATTCTCCTTCTTTCTTCTATTTCCAAAGCATGCTTTGTTGTTGTTATAAGGATTCAGTTGTATTATCCATTATAAATAATTATTATATTATTATATTATTTTGGACATAATGGACATAATTGTCCATCATGACAACATACAAAGAAGTCTTACATACTTATTCCAAGTCAGCTTCAACAAGACTCTATCACCTTTTTTCATTGACTATACTTTAACAGTGGTTTGTAAACACAAGGTGAATATCCAAAAGGTTTTTGAGTCTTGTTAAAACATCATATGTTCTTTTGTTTGTTTTTTTTGTTATTCGGGACTTTAATAAAAGGTAAAGAGAAGGAGTCCAAGCAGCAGATGGAACATTCCCAGTCTGATAGAACAAGCATCACTTTTGGTTGTAGAGGCAGTTGTTGCAGTTGATGTAACAGTTGTAGCTGCAGAGCTTATAGTTGTGGCGGTACTTGTAGTTGTGGCGGTACTTGTAGTTGGGGTGGTGGTTGTAGTTCTAGTTGGGGTAGTGGTTGTAGTTGTGGCGGTACTTGTAGTTGGGGTGGTGGTTGTAGTTGTAGTTGTAGTTGGGGTGGTGGTTGTAGTTGTAGTGGGTGTGTTGGAGTTGTAGTTGGGGTGGTGGTTGTAGTTGTGGTGGTTGTAGTTGTAGTGGTGGTGGTTGTAGTTGTAGTTGGGGTTGTGGTTGTAGTTTTGGCGGTAGTTGTAGTTGGGATGGTGGTTGTAGTTGTGTGGTTGTAGTTGTAGTTGGGTGGTGGTTGTAGTTGTAGTTGGTGGTTGTTGTAGTTGTAGGGCGGTGGTTGTAGTTGTAGTTGTGGCTGTGGTGGTTGTAGTTGTCTGGGACGGTGGTTGTTGTTACAGCGGTGGTTGTAGTTGCGGCGGTGGTTGTGTTGTAGTTGGGGTGGTTGTTGTTGCGGTGGTTGTAGTGTGGCAGTGGTTGTAGTTGTAGTTGGGGTGGTAGTTGTAGTTGGGGTGGTGGTGGTGGTTGTAGTTGTAGTTGGGGCAGCAGTTGTAGTTGGTGCTGCAGAACAGGCAACACCTGATACTGTACCAACGCTCTGCATGAAAGGTAGAGAACCCAGGCTTGAAGCAGCTGCACACAGGTTTGCAGATGCGCAGCCGTAACCTGGATACGTGCTGGTGCCGCTTTTGACTGCAGATCAAAAAGAAGAATTTCAGGATATGTTTTAAATTGGCTACTTTCCAGGAAGCTTAATATATTTCATGCAAAAAACAACTTAACAGCTTTTTAAAAAGTTTATGTGTTTGTCTGACTTCCAGGCTTGAAATTTAAAATCTTATCACAGTAACTTTCACACCCAAGGATAACATTTAGTATAAATTAGGGTAAAAGTTTCCGCTCTTTTATATGTCAGAAGTATCACAAAAGAATTTGAAATCATCTTTGATTGAAAACCGATGACACAACTGATACAACATAAAGACTCACTGGTTGATTGGAAGCATTGGTTCTCCACTCCCTGACACTGTAATGTGGAGGAGCACTGACCAGTGGAAGGGTCACAAAAGTTGCATACTCCACCATTATTTGACTGAGAAGCAGGATCTGAAACACAAAAGGAGGCCATTTCATTTCAGAACAGAGACTCTTACAACATCAGATTATTGTTTTTATTTCTTTATATTATTCTTTTGTCATCAATGAGCAACGCAGTATTTAACTTACTTGGTAGAGTTGCTGAGTTGCAGTTATCTGTGTTGCAGCATTGAGCAGAAGCCAGAGCACTTTGAAAACCCAGGTCGACTGAAAATGTCTGAGAGGTTACGGCTGGACACAGGGAGGAAGATGCACATGCCTTGTAGATTTGTGTGACCGGAGTTCCAGATGAAGTAGCTACAAATTCAAAGTGCGGTTTGTCAATGTTGATGGAACACAAATAGCTTCACAGCAGTTGTAATTTGGTGAAAATATGAAATATGATATGAAGAAAACATTACCTAGAATGGTAGCTGTAACACACATTGGTTCCGATGAGGAGCATGTAAGTAGTGCTGTGCTTGAACATGCTGAATTTGTGCAGGTTTGGCACTGGAGGGCTCCAGCTGCAATCAGGAGAGAAACACAAAAATGATCATCACAATTTAAATATATAGCAAATATGAGATGTTCTGAAAGTTCATATTGGGTTACAGCAGGTTACAGTCGAGTCAATACTACTCACTAACTTTGGAAAAAAATTACAATGTAAGATTTAAATAAAAGATTTAAAGCTTTAAATTAGACTCTCTTCTACCTGCAGGTGAAATGAGTGTAGTTACCTGTGGTGGAGAGTGCCCAGAGAAGAAAAAGAGAAAACAGCAGCTTCATTGTGATGAACAGGTCAGTTCTGCAGATTAGTTTCCCTGGACTGTGATACTGAAGCTGAGGAGCAGCACTGCACTTTATATACTGAACAGGTGACATCAGGTTTGGGTGTGTTTACATTTTTACAGCATGATCATTCATACATTCAACTCTTCTTTCGTCAAATCACTATGTCAGAGCACCTTACCACACCTTTCCTCTTCAATTCAACAACAAGTATTCGTGCATCACAAAAAACACAGGAATTCTTTTTTACATTATTAAGTTTTTAACAAATGAGAATGACCTTGCGTCTCGTGTCATTAAGCCATCATCTTTAATTTTGACGTTGAAACCATAATTGACTTTTTGTTCATACAGTTCAATTTATTTATAACAGCTGACACTTCCGAATAAAATCAGGACCAAATGTTATGAAACAATCCTGGAATAACTTTTCTACAACTGATGAAGATCAAGCCTAAATGCTTTACATCAAGTATTGTCCTCTACATATATATTACTAATGATAAATGTTGTCTAAATAGATCAGGGGTTATCAACTACATTTGTCCAAGGACCAGAATTTTATCAGCACACACTGTGAGGACCAGATGCTCTCATAAAGTAACTGAAGTAACATAAACATAACATCAAGTACCTCACATTACCTGTACTGCAAAGCCACTAGAGAGTGACTGCAATATTTTAGGCTTCATATTTGTGAGGCTAATAATGCATGCAGCGAAATCATACAGTTTTTGTCATAATGTAGCTTCGTGTTTGTTTGTCTAAGAGAGGGACACAAACTCAGAGATCCTACAGAGGTCAAGATAAAACAAAAGAAAGAAGTCCAAAAAGAACGATTAATTTGCTAACAAATGTTGTGTTTTTAATCTCAAAATCAACATATCTGAAAAAAACAGTGATCATTGTAGATGTCTATTTAATCAGCTTATACTCCATAACAGTTTTCATTCCTACTTGAATGCCAGTTGTTGACCATTTCAATATGAAAACTTGATTTTACTCACTAACACAGTATAAACAGTGTGGTGTGAAATCTGTTTGATTTTATGTGTAAGTTGAAAGAAAATCATCAGATGTTCCTTGATGCAAGAACTAACAGTCATGACTGGGAGGTAACTGTC